ATCCCTGTACAAAAAAAAAAAAAAAAAAAAAAAAAGGCCCTTGTGGATGATTTCTCCTAAGTGTTTCCACTCTGGTAGAGAGGATAGAAAAGTGACTCCAAGGAGGAGATTTTCAAAGGGACTTCTGGACCACCAGTTTCAGAGAAGATTAGTCTCTTGATGATGGGGTGAGAGGGACCTCAAGAGGATATGTTTCTTTATGGATATTTTTCCTCACTAAGATTCTGAAGCCACTCCACCTAAAACTGAGAGTATAGGACCTTTAACTATTTACTCCAAGTTCTCCCTGCCTTGGGCCCAGCCATGGTCCAGCGAAGCTAACAGACAACCAAGGGCCCCTCCAAGAAGGTGGTCAACTGCCTGTGGGGCCAGCAGGCTGCTAACCAAGTCCTCCCAGTTTCTGTACCACCTGCTCCCTTAAAGTTAGGTATGGCTCTGTGGTTTGTGTTGAGAAAGAAATTGTGACTGCAAATGCTTAGGGGTTGTTCTCGGAGAAGATTTAAATGCTCAAGTATAGTTTTTCTTCTTTTTAATTCTTTTGTAGTCATGGAAACACCTGGCACATCCTCCTTCAGCCAGAGCCCTTCAATCAGACACAATCTCTGGCTGATGGACCTGTGATGTGAGACAAACACTGGAATGTGCCTGTTTTCCTAAACTGCCGAGACACTTGTTTGTCTGTCTCTGCTTTCTTGATGGATACATAACTGCACCAGACACAGAAGGCCATCAATTCAATGATGCAGAAGGGAGGGCTCTTGAAGTCTCTGTTATTCAATACTAAATTCCACTCAAGTAATATTGTGAAATGCTATCTCTGGTTATTCCATATCCTTAGAGCTGCTCACCTTACCAAATACATCTCTGCACAAACATACATACTTGTAAATGCACACACTAAGAGCCTTGTTGAGTTCTTGTACAGAAATTTAGAAAACCAGGAGTTCACCATCTCAAAGATGGAGCAGTTTCCAGCTCTACTTGCAATATTCTTTTAATCCTTCCAAGGCCTAGCTCGCTCTTGGGTTTGTCTTTGGTGATTTTATCCAGAGGTTAAGCCTTGGGATAGCATGAGGTATAGCATGAGGTTATAGGACTATCCTCAGCTGTTTGCCTTGACTCACTTACTGTACTTGACTTTATAACAATGGCTATGGATGACCTGTTTAAACACAATGTTGTAACTCTATTACATAATATTTAAAGTAATTTGGTTTATCTATTCAGTGCATCTGAAGAAATGCTCATAGTTATAAACCCAAACCATAGAGGAAAAACAAACATGACTTATGAAGTATCAAACACAAAGTACCATAGTCCTGGATAGTTTTAATACCAAGAGGATTTTAGGTTAAATAACTCCTATACAGCATGAATAGAAACTCTATTAACCAGAATATTAAATTAAGAAAATTGCTCTCTTTTCCTTAAAAACTCCTCTGAAATTGAACTCAAATTCATGGCATTTTCACTATTTCCTGAAATTATATGGCTGGGGAAAGAAATTTGAAGATATGTGAAACCAAATTTCTTTTCACTGGAATAGGGTCCAGTGAAAGCCTCCTGCACACAAACCTCGAAGTTCCAACTCCGTTCCTGTTCATTATTTACATCTTATTGGAATGGAGTAATTATAATCTTAATGGGAAGATAAAACTGTAATACTTAGAAAAACTCAGACAAAATACAATACTACATGTTAACTATGAGTTAAAAATTACAATATTTCTTTCATAGGACTGTTATAAAAATTGAATTAGTTTATAAGTTCTCAATAAAATTACGGGAAAAAAAGAAAAAGGAAATTTAAAACTTAAAAAAAAAGTTTATGAGTTAAGCAATCTAGCACAGAGTCTAGCGTAAAGTTCCAATCACAGACCAGATTGGGATACTGAGACACACACTGCTGGTACTCTGGGAGCCCATGACATTAGAATTCATTTGCTCCAAGAACAATTTATAGGCTACTGTTAGCTCCAGTGAGGCAGCTGAGTCTCAGAGGATGAACTAACCTGTCCTAGAAGGTGCAGGGAAGACCGGAGGCCAAAATAATAGAGTCATAGTTAAAGCCTTTCAAATCACACAGCATAAAAACAGTTTACCTCTGGCCAGGTATGGTGGTACATCCCCGCAATCCCAGCATTTGGGAGGCTGAAACAGGAGAGCCAACTTGAGCCTATCGACAGCCTATACAATGAGTGAAACCCTGCCTTAAAGAAAAAATAACAGTTTACTCAGAGGGCAGATGTTCATTATAGGGATATGTACAGAAAGAAAAAAAAAAAACAGCAGTAATAGAGGAGTATCTCCTAAGAACAGACAGGATGAGAAAAAAACAGAGATATGTTCTGTATATGTCCCATATAAAAAACTTGATATATCTGTCTGGATACCTTACCAGAGCAAGCCATTTTTGCTGACTCTGCTCCTCTGTTTATGCTGCTGCTCCTAGAACTTCGTATTTATACCACATCCAGAGCCAACTCTGAGTTGGTTCTCAGACTCCATTTTGCTCTCAAGAGCATCTTGACTTGGCAGATTTTTCCCAGCTGTATTACATAATGGTTTCTAATCTTGGCCATAAATTAGAACTACCTGCAGAGCTTTGACAATATATTAATCCTAGACAAATTAAGTCAGAATCTCTGAGAACAAGGAATAGATTCAAATATCAACAATGTTAATTAACTCTCCATCAGCCTAAGGTGGAGACAGCTGAGATTTAGCAGCGCTCAACAGAGCCTTTGAGTCAGAGCAGACTTAGGGCCCTGTGAGGGATGCCTGACACTAGGCCTCCTCTGGAGGAAACACAGTTGTAATTTAAGAGCTCTGTAATGTGTAGCAAAGAATTGACCTTGCCCAAACAGAGGTTTGGCCTTTTCCTTCAGCTCCTGTAAGAAAACCTCTATGCCCTTGGAAATCCTGTCTGGTAACTGTGGCTTTGATTACATAATCTTATTGCATACAGTTATTGGCTGGATTTCCAGAGAAGATGGAGAATAGTCAACCGTGTGGGTGGTCAAATGCATCTATACGGTCAAGCCCCTAGAACAATCTCTGAACTCCAAGACTTGGTAGGCTTTCCCACTTGGCAGTACCACGCATGTCACACTCCAGTTCTAGGAACAATTAGCACTGTCTGCAAGTCTCCACTGGGAAAGATAATCAGGCACTCATGCTCTGAACTGTCCTGGACTGTATTTCCACATATCTCTCCTTTTGGCTGACTTTAATCCATCCCCTTTGCTGTAATAAACTGTAACAATGAGCATAATGGCTTTTCTGAGTTTTGTGAGTCCTTCCAATGAGTTCATGAATCTATGGGTGGTCTTTGGGACTTGGAACTTGCAGTTCATATCAAAAATTAGGATGATTACTGTAAACTAGGCCATTATTTTTCTGTTGTGGACCAGCATCTTTTTCTCCTGTAAGCCAAGAACTTCCTAATAAATTCACAAATTCTAGGGGTTCTCACCCCCTCAGCACACAAATATTCCCAGCTCTAGAAAATAATGCACCTCTCTCAAGGGCCCATTCTCTATTTCCTTTGCATGTGCACTTTAAATTTTAACTCATAAACCTCTTTTTTAAAAATTAGAGTGACCTTAGAAAACACCTGAATGTGACACATGGCCTACCATCTCACTCAGCTGGGATGCCTCCTCTGAGCAGCCAACACCCTGCCTTGCGGGCAGGTCCTGCAGCACCCTTTCCCACACTGCATGGCTTTGTGCCAACTTCTCCCTTCGCTGGGAATGTTTTTCCTCAGCTCCACCACCAACTCACTCCTCAGTTTCTTACAGAGAAGCAAAGTCTGCAACATAGATTACTGGTTAAGCTGCAGGAAGAGGCCATGGACGCATTTGACAAGGAGGGTGACGAATTCACTGAGAGTCAAAAGGCAATGGGGACAGAGCATCTACAGTGAGAATCTTTGTAAAAATGAGGATCTGCTTGCAATCAAAGTAGGAGAAACACATGAGACTTCCAAAGAAGAATTGACAGTTTTCTCTACATACCATCAATAGGCTTAATGTTTAAGAAGACGGCACAGGTTGTATTTCTCTTTCATGTGTTTTTGATGTCCATGACTGTTCTGAGGAACATGAACCAGCAACAACAGATTCAACAGAAAAATGATCTGTTTACAGATTGTGCGTTTCTGCAGGCAGGGACTTTTATGTCTGTGTCCCTGGCACACAGCACAGGCCTGGCTTGTGTTTGTTAAATAAATGAATGCCCTACGAATAGAAGACAAGCCTCAAGGAAAGACAGTCTCCGTTCTGACGTGATGGTAGAATTATGACCCCGCTGAAACTGGCTAGGAAAAGGGCCTGGAAGATATGTCAGTGGTCCCCAGTCTTCAGTCCTCAGTCCTGTACTAGCCAGTGATTAAGTTGTCCTTGATTTCTCTGGAAAAAAACAAAAATTTAAAACACATACATATATAGTGAACCAATTCCACATTCTTACATTATCATTTACATTATCTTTATCCTTGTAAAATACCCATTTGCTCAATGTGATAAGAATAGTGATTAGTGCTCAAGTTCTCACTTGAGAATTAGACAATGAAGAGAGGACAAGGAGAAAGCTAGGAAACATGACAGGGACAAAGCAATACATTTATATGCACAAGATGGGTAAGGCAATGATCCTAAGAATCTTCAGCATGTTTTTAAAACTAGCCATTAATTGGTAGGATTCTCACCCTGACTAACTATATATGCTGATACCTGCGAACTAGGCAACAGTACTGAAGGTAGCAATGTGTAATGGTAGGGTCATGCTTGGAATGCCTGTCATTCTGGTCTTCTAAATACATGCTGCTTGTCATGCCATACCAATTACTGCCATACTGTCTCTCAAGTAAATGTTAAAAAAAAGAAAGGGGTAATAAATGAAAACAAAAGACAAGAAAAAAAAGTCATAGGACTGTCCTGCTACAAGGCTGTATATGGGTTAGATTTCTAAATTTCTGTGTTAAAATATGTAACTTTTTATTCCTATTCTTTAAAATTGCTTTTTTTATTTTTTTCTTCATATTCCATAGGGACTTAAAGTTTAACATATCAATACTTGATGGAAAATACCTCTCCCATGTTATGCCTAAAATGTTTGATATTCAGACAGATAGTGAGGTTATGCTCAACTGCCTATGTTGTAGGGTAATAATAATAAGTTTCTCTTCTGGAGGGCTAATAACCTAAGTTTGCAGACCAAAAATTAGAGAAAAAAAAAAAGGGCTGCAAGGTCAGCCAACATTTTGGCCATAGCCTTTCAAGGTCAGTGAAGACTCAGGACATAGGAGATCCTGTACTGAAATACCATGTAACTCAGTTGTGTCCCAAATTTCCTGATCAAGGAGATTATGGGGCCACAAAGGTAAATGATCAGCAATGTAGAGTATGCCTAAGGAGAGTCACCTGAAGAGAAAACATTCTCTCGGGCTTTCACAAAGGGCAAACTGGTCAAGCAATAGCTGTGACTCATCCACATGGCTGACACTGACAAAGGATATACAAACTGTGGTATGGGGTTTCAGGATAAATCCTGAGGGGAATTGACTGACCTTATCAGATACAAAAGTTACATTTCTTGTTATAGAAGTCTTGCTTTATCTTGGTCTTAACCATCCAGCAGAAAAATATAAAAACGAGGTATAAAAAGTAAAACCATATTAATATGCTGAGCTGCAAAAGGCTCAGGTCAACAACTTCTGACATTGCCAGTCCTGCGGATGACCCACTACTATTATGGACTACTGGACTATACTGGAATGTTTTGCTGAATTCACGCACCTACAATATTTAAATAACAATGGAATGTCCTTCTTTGACAAAACTATCCTAAAAAGGCGGATACAAATGAATGACCATTTTGTATCTGTATACTCAAAATAGTTGGGATAGATATACAGTCACATTCTCTTAATTCAACGAATAGATTTATCCTAATAGTATTTGTGGACAGGATATCATGTCTGCATCTGGTACAATGAATAACCACTAAGACAACAATATGCAATATATTAATTATTGAAACTGTACTAGTAATCAGTTTTGAAACTGTTTGCTATTTGTTTCTCAATAAAAGTATTTTTAAAAAAGAATAGTGATTATCTTATTTTATTAATATGTTTACTTGTACAAAAAGAAAATTCACAACACTATGATAATTTCCAAAAGTGAGGGGAATTACCAATGTGTGAAATTTTAAAACTTGAGTATCATAAGTGGAAGTAATTGTGAAGGGTTAACATAAATGTAATGTGATGAGTTAATGTAAAACTAAATATAACAAATTATTCTATTCAACTTTCTGGACCCTGCTTCCTTGTAAGACTGCAAGGAGGCTTGGTGTACCATCGATAAATCATCATTCAACCCAGAAAACAATGCTCCCAGAAAGAAATGTATGCTAAGTAACGGTCACGCTGTCCCTAAAGGTACTGTTCTATGTTAAGTGACAAATTTGATTGTCAAATAGGATGTGGTTTCTACCTTTAAAAATCTCTGTAATTCTAAGGCTCCTGGCCATTTGTCCTCTCCTGCATGAGTAAGGTCAAGCAGTCCTGGGCCTGACAATAAAAGACTCATATTTAAATTTTAATTTTGGATTCTGGTCTGGTTTCTATGGTAAGAACCCATAACAGGAATATAAAGTAAAACAGTGATGACCAAAAAGGCTAAGGAAGGGGTAAAAGGCAGAGAGAGGATGGGTAGCAGTGCAAAACGAAGAGAGGAAGAATAAGTTTTTAGTGTTCTATAGCATGGTACACTGACTAGAGTTTATGACAATTCATTGTACATTTACAAATTTCCAGAAGGTTTTGCATACTCCCAACATTAAGAACTAACAAGTGTTGGACACAGTAGAAGCACAGATGGCCCAGCCTTGACCTTGACATATCGTCATGTGTGCTATGGCATGACACTTTAGCACATAAACATGCACCATTGTTAGTTATCAATTAAAAATGTTAAATATTTTCTATAGGAAGTCTGGGCACGTCCAGCAAATGCTGTGGGTGCCTAGGAAGAGGAGGGAAGCATGGGTAGGGGAAGACATCATGCGATCCCAGCAGGAGGGGGCTGGGCAGCCAGTGACGACTCACAGTGAAGAGCAGGGGCACCAGCAAGCCTCAGCAGGGCCACTTGGAGTCGATACCTGCCTGCCTGTACTTCTCATTTGGAGGGGTCTTTGACATGGAGAGAGGCTGTTTGTAAAACAGAGAGATTCTAAGATACTGTGGGATTTTGCATCACTGTAAATGACCTGTTAGGAAAAATGTTTCTTGGCCCGGCCAGATAGCTCAGCAGATTAAAGTGCCTGCTTAGGCAGACATGGGGACCAGGGTTCGATCCCCAGCATGCCATTCCAACCCTGCCGCAGGGCTCACTGAGATAGTGATTAAGACTGGGCGTTGGCGCACGCCTATAATCCCAGCATTTGGGAGGCTGAAAACAGGAGGATCACTACAAGTAAGATCTGTGTAGTGTGACCCTGTACTAAATACATTTAAAAAACAATTCTAGAAAAATGTTTCTTCCCTTTATCAAAATTACCTTTTGATACATTAGTTAGCACACATACAACTACAAGAGAGAGTTTTGTATCATTAAATTTTCATAAAATAAAGTTTTCCAGGATTTTTAATGAGCAATAAGTCAAATCTCATAAAATAAACAAGTTAATTACAAAAAGTATATTTATTGTAATTGAATGAATTTAAGACTCTCAGAATACAACCACCAGCAAGCTTTAAATTAATATAAATTTTAATTATTTGATTTTAAAACTCCAGTTGTTTCTCAAATAGCTATTTAATTTTCATTTACCGCATTTATTTATTTATTTATTTATTCATTTATTTACTTATTTTTGCATCTTAGGGAAGGGCCTACAGGATATTCAGGGTCTTACTACTCATACTGATCCACCTGTTTACAGCCTCCCAAGAGCTGGGATTAGAGGCACGCGCCACCACGCCCAGTCTCAATTGCCCT